GCTAAGTTTGTTTATTTAACAGTTAGATTTGTTGACTTACTGATCCGTATTGTAATCTCTGGGAAGACGTTATTTTTATTTATTCTATACTTTGTATTTGCGTCCAATGTAATAATACTTTTATGAACAAAAATTTCATTTTAATGGCCATTTTGTATGCCTTTTATTTCCACACCATGTTTTGATTTTGCCTCGATGTTATTGTGTCATAGTGTTTTTGCTATAAAATTCGAGAAATGTCAACTTTTTAATTAAGGAATGTTGGTTACTCTCTTGTGGTAAATCAAATTGTTGATGATGTCAACGGATCATGAGATAACACATTGTCCGGGGAAAGATATCAATATCAGTTGTATATCGGATAGAAAAATAAATATTATAGTAGATGCTAATTGTTTGCTCTGAAATAATGTGACTAATGACTATTCCAGCGAATCAGGTAGATATTTCAACGGTTTTCGCGTAATGAAAGAATTTAGTTGTCGTTTCTATTAATTTGAAAAGTAGGGTCGTTGATAAACACATATAACTGTAAAAGTATTTATTGGAAGTATTGTTTTAACAGTCTTTTCGCTTCTCTTTTTGTCTCTCGACAGGCATAGGCGTAGCCAGGGGGGGGGGGGTTTGCGGTGCATAACCAATAAAATAGAACCAAGAAATAGAAGAAGAGATAGAAGCTTCAAGCTCAATTTTGAAGGAGGTTGCATCTTTTGGCTTGCTTTTGCCACGATCGCAACCCCCTCCCCCGACTGAAAACCGTTATTGTTTTTGGCGATCGCACACCCCCCCCCCCCGACTGAAAGTTGGCTACGCCCCTGAACATGTATAATAGGGGCACTATTACGCTGCGTGCAGAGTCTAATTATAAACTACGAGAAGACGAAAGAAGTGAAGTCGAACAAATGCAAAGGGTAGGGTATTATAGAAGGGGATCATATAAAAGCACGATCTATTTCAAAACGCTTTTAACTTTTGTTCTTCAACTGTTGCCCTTTGTGCATTTCAAAAATAAAATATCTTAATCTGATTTGTTCCACCTTTCTTTCCGCTCAGTTCTGCAATATTATCGTTATGTCCATATGTTGTTTAGGATTATGTCATTTGCAAAATAGCTGTAAGACATTATGAGAATGAAGATGGGAGTTTCCACGATAATGTTGTTCACATGATTTTATACACATACCTGCATAACAATCGGAGACGGAGGTCTTAATATTGTCCAATCAAAAAATAAGAATCTAACATTTAATGATAACAAAAGGATTAATTGCTTAGTTCTCTTTGTCTTAGTCTTTGTTTTCTTAAATGCGGAAGTGTACCAATATCACCTAGATTACATAAGAGATCATCTAACAGTCTAAAATTGCTTTTAATTGCAAGTTAATGCATTCCGATCAAAATTTGTATACCTGTAATTTGGAGGGGGGGGGGGGCGATGTTACATCACATAACTACAATGTTCATATAGAAATATATGTCCGTATAAAAGCTAAAATTATAAAAACTCATTTCAAAGTCATTCTGTTCATGGAAGCGTCAAGTTATGAAAAACAATGCTTAACACTCAAACAAATCGACTTGATTACCTTTGAAAACTTCTTGAGAGGAAATGGACAAATGTATTTTTCGAACTCATTAGCACGTCTGTCTGATTGAAATACTATTTTTTTTAAATACAAACATAAATGATTTAAACTTGGTCAGAAGTCTGAACATTGTCCAACAAAATAATAAGAATCTAACATTTAATGATTACATAAGGATTAATTGCTATATAGTCTTTGTCTTAGTCTTTGTTTTTCTAACGGCAGAAGTGTACCATGCATCACCTTGATTACAGAAGAGATCATCTAACAGTCTAAAATTGCTTTTAATTCTGGGGTTTTAATTACATTTTATGAATAGACTTTTTTGCCTCTATTCTCATTTTTAAACCTGTTTCTGTTTGCGTATTTAACAATTGTGATAAATTATTCAGTTAGTGTCGAAATCAAAACAATTTTCTACATTAATAGTCCCCTCCTCTTGCACTGACTAAATATTAAAATAAGCCAGTCTGATTGCGAATTTACAAATCCTGTAAAAGTAGCTTCAAACCGCCTTTTAATCAGAGAAAACAATAAGTTAATTCATCTGATTGCGAAAATACGAATCAATCTGATTATCTGATCTCCATGCTATTTGATTCGTGCATTATCTACAAGTCAGTCGGGCAAGGGCGAAATTATTTCATTTGAAAACAGAAATAAATATCAGAACCCCTCTAGCATAACTATTCGGAAGAAATTCATACAAAAATAAGGTACACAACTGATGAAGGGTCGCACGCAATGCACGCACCCCTCTCCTCCTCCTCCGTGTTTGCCCACACACGACCATATTTGACAATTTTTCTAAAAGCGTTTTCCCCGGGAATATAGGTGTAGCGGTTTCCAGAAGTCGCACAGCTTGGGGGTCAGGGTATCCTGATCCATGCCTCAACGCCTGACGGGTCTGATATTTAGAGGGGGTGCAAACATTATTAGGGGGCGGGGTAAACGTGAAAGTTGCCAAAATATCCATAGGCGTAGCCAGGAGGGGGGGGGGGGTGCGATCGCAACCTCCCCCATAACAATAAAAATAAAACGCTGAGAAAGAAGAAGAAAGGAGCATTAAAATGCCACAATCATACCCTCCTGACTGAAAACCGAAATCTTTTTGGCGATCGCACCCCTCCCCCCTGACTGAAAGCTGGCTACACCCTTGATATCTGTTTTTGGTCATCAATAAAACTATATTTATATGGTGAGGATTTATGAATTTTGATAACAATAGGCTTTATATATGCTTTAATGTTTTATTTATCATGATGCTTTTATGTAGGCTATTAATTACAGTTCTTTTTGCAATAAAAAACTGGTATGTTTATGCAAATTCCGATTGGACTAATATAAAGGGATATTGTTTCATTATGTGGACTTGAGAAAGTCTGACATACTCATTGCTTTCAACGCAAAACTTAAAATAGGAAGTTATCAAGATCCCAAGAACACGATCGCTACTTAAACAATACGTTTGTAAAATCCCGGCGATCGAAATGCAATCAAACTTTCGCAATCAGGTGCCTAATTAGTCTTTTGATCTCTAAAGTTTTATGACTGAACTTTTCAATGAACTCGTGAGAAGCAAACGCAATCATCATATAAACATTTTTCTAGTAAATCTAAAATAGAGTAAAACCCAGGGAAAAAGATCGCGTGGTTATTTGATTATTTCATAGGAATTAGGCATATTTCAATTTTGAAATAACAAAAGTCAGTCTCGGAAGAATTTTCCAAGCATTCCCTGCTTCGATGCGTTTTTATTGCAAGGGCCGTTTAGCGCCGATATGAATTCATTAGGGCATTAGGGTTGTGCTTTATTTGTTTTATTTATATAAATGTTATGAAATGTGTACGACACTTTAATGAATTATTTTTAGGGTTACAATGCATATTTGACTTTTCCCTCTAAACGTTTAAAATTCATCTTTATACTTTTCTTAGTTTGATTCAATAAAATTAACATTGGATCCCAGACAGTTATCAAATTCTCAGACATTTGATTAATATAGATATTTGTACTTCCTTTGACCAGTGGCTGGTGTGACTGAGATTCGAATCTAATCTGTTTCATTTTTATGTAAATTGAGAGGAATAACGTTTTATTTTAAGCGTTTTAACAATCTTAACGTTTGGCGTGCAGCTCAACTTAATACACAATCAAAGGACAGAATACAGAAATAAGAACATGCCTTTTATTTGTTATTCAAGCTCGAGCAATATCCCCGGCGTCATATTTAATCCTGTCAACACAATAATGGTATTAATTGGCATGATATGTAATCAGAGACGGTTTAAAAAGTTGTTTAGATTAATGATAGTATTAGGAAAAATCCTAATTCAAAGTTTTTGTTCTCTCGCAATCCAGAGCAAACCACTCGCCGGGCAAGCATTCTTTAAAAACGTGAAGTTTTCACCATGTTGAGCAGTTTTGAAAATTGTCCAATTTGAACCATCGCCTTGTATATTTTTATAACTGCCCCCCCCCTTGACACTCGAGTGTAAGAATCCTTTCCACACTGTCAATGGTTTTTACAAAATAGTTCATGTCAGGAAGGGGGGGGGGGGTGAGTGTGGAGAACAATCACTGACTGCGATTTGTATGATTGAACATTATACACTTATCATAAATTCGTAAAGAATAGTTTTAAAATAAACATGAGTTACTTGTAATTATCAGACCGATCTTTTATGGACAATATTATATATCAGACTCTTTTATGGACAATATTATATATGCGAAGAATTTTTAAATGCTTGCTGCATGCAAACATACAACACTTTTTAATTGGAATACTTTACTTAGTTAATTAACACAGTAGTCATATGACACACGGATAAGACGTAACTGGTCTGAGGATAAGCTCTATCTATCTCTCAATAGAGTGAACTTTGTATTCCTGAGAATTAGTAGTAAGTCGGGGTTATTACTTATGGATAACACATAAAGTATTCTTTCTTAGTAGTGCTTACAAAATAGTGTTTCCCGTTGTGTATATTGTAATATCAGTGACACAAAAATAAACTATTTTAAACTAAACTACTCTAAACTAAACTCTAATGGGGAAACTCTACGATATTTCGAAGACAATTAATTTGTCAAAGTTTCAAAGTTTTCAACATTTTTTAAAACCACGTTTCCAGATGTAATTTTACGGTCATAGATGTCAAATATGATATCATTTTGACTGAATAATTTTGAATTTGTAATGACATAAATCATTTTTACTTGCATCAAGTCTATTAGTATAGTTCACTTGTAGATCTACTTATTAAATTAATTCATTACATCAGAATGCAGCAAACATATTAAGTTATCAACCCGAGTGTCAAATTTATAACTGCCATCTTAATATTTAAAAAATGTGCATATCAATTAAAGAAACTACATGTTGCTATATATTTGTATTTTCATTTCAGGTTTATGAAATGACATGTGAAATTCGCACCAAGATATGGGTTGACACCTTACCCGTTCCAGATCAAAACCTTTACGAGCAAGAGAACACAAATGATCATAACTACAACATCGACATACCTGAGGTGCACGTGCCTATAGTAAATGATAGACTAGAACTAAGGGGAGAAACACTAAATGAAAATAATAATTCCAATAATCGTAAAATAAAAATGGGAGTAGAAAATGTAGCATATCAGTATGATAGCCATGAACAAAACGGGAATGCCAAGAACAAGACTGTCGGCAATGGTGACGTTAAAATGTTCACTGATCCAAGACTTCCTTTGTCCATACCAAACGAATGGTCTTTTTCAAAATTCTTGCCGGATAATTCTACACCAAATGGATTTATATCAGCGGCTAATTTTGCGCCATTCAAATTACCAAACACCAGCATTCAAAATGATAAGTCATTATTTGGAGATCGTCCAATATATTTACCCAATCCTGTGGATGAACAGCCTGAGAACAATACTAAAATACAGCATGATACAGGTGATACTAATGCTGAAGATTTAGTTACCAATGATTCGATTGAACAACCAGAGAACAATACTGAAATACAGTATGATCGGGATGATGTTAACGATCCAGTTACCAATGATTCGATTGGCAAATTCAAAATTAGTGAATCCCCTGTCAAAGGCCAGCCAAATTATAGTTACTTTACTGAAAAACAGACAAGTCCGACAGACAGATTCTCATCGACGTCTGAGATCGAGGAATCCTCTGGTGGAAACGATAGTGAGGTCCTGAACGACAGGGATCGAAATGCTCACCCATTTGCCATTCAAGAACAAGAGGATGATACATCCTCGATTTCCGATCATTTCCGATTTCTGGAAGATGAATCTGATTCAGAACAAGGGGATGGTACATCCTCGATTCCCGATCATTTCCGATTTCTAGAAGACGAATCTAACAGGTCTTCCGTCGTTCTGTCCACAGAGCCTTCAGAGCAAGTTGCCATTGATATGGACCAAATTCAATTGGGAGTGAGTGAAGAGTCTTTACCTGATAAAGATGATCAACCGTCCACTATGTATGTTCATCTTCATATTACAAAGGAAATGCTTGAAGAGTTCAGAGAGGAACAGGACCGTCTGGCATCGGAAGATGAAGCCATTGTGCAGGATATGATAAGAGAAGAAGAAAGGCGCAAGAAAATGAAAAAGAAAATGAAGAAGATGAAGAAGAAGGAATTGAAGAAATCCTCAAAGTTGGAACAACTGTTTGAAACACCAGAACATGAGGACTCGGGGATTGATCCCGAATTCGAATCAACATCTGTTAACGACGTCGTAATTGACGTCAATGGGAGCGTTTCTTCGGAAAATGGGCAAATAATGACGAAAGATTTACTGCCAGGTATAACTGAAGGTATGGGCACCTCTGAAGGAGAACCCGAGGGTGAACAAAAAGAGTCAAACAAAGACGACCAAGAAGAAAGAGTCAAAATCAGCAGATACCTGTAAGCAATTTAATATATCTTCATATTTTTTTAAATCGCCAAACAATCAGGTTTAGTTAACTGATCCTAAATGAGTCTTTAGGTTCCAACCATATAGGAAAATATGATCTCAAATCCCAAAATGGGACAGTCAAAGACCAAGAATATTACGGGGTGAGCCAAACAAATCTTAATAACTCAATTATTCATCCCAGTGTGGGTTTCAGATAATATTGAATATAATGGAACCTTGTTCGATTGTCCTTTCATTCTGATATGTTTCTTTGTCTTATGGTCATGATTTCATGGCAATTTTACAAAACATGCTCCAAATGCCAAAACATACCAAAAACAACCCAATATGAAACCCTTGAATTTTATCTTTGGGGCTATTTCAAATGTAATGCGTATATGAACAACCCTAGAAGAGAGTTAAAACAAGAGGTTAGAAAGCAAATGAGAGCCATTACACAATATATCCGTGAGCATGTCATCAGAAAACTACCTGATGTTTTCAAGCTTGCCTCAAAAACATGCAGTACGTATTTTGAGCATGTTTTGTAAAATGGCCATAAAATCGTGACCATTTGCAATAAGCCAATTAAACGTGTTTGAGTGGACGGACTTATTCTGATCAGGTGCGTTATGTCGTATATTTTCAGACCTCGAATCAAGAAAAAACACGAGGCGAATGTTACCTTGGGATTTAGAATATTCTACCTCTCCATGAGTATTGGGCTTGTGATTGGACTAATGTTGGTATTCTATGTCTTAAACGTAAGACTAGTTCGTGTTGGAATGGGGACGCTACCCTGGGCGCAAACTGTCTATGGACTTGTTACAATGTCTCATTATATCTCCGAATCCTTTTTCGCAATAATCAATAAGTACAAGATGAGCAGACTGGGCAGAAAAGTGCAAGGCTTGAAGAGGGCAAATTTCAGATGTGAGGGCAAAGTGGCGTTGCAGGTTAGTATCTTTTTACCTAATTTTCCGATTATAACCCCCCTATCACACCAAACTAGTTCTTACCCGTTCTTGCCAGTCCTACGAAAACGTCGTAAAACGGGCTCAATCTGGCTGTGGTCGGGAAATATGTCTAAAATAATTGGCTACTTCGTTCATAAACAGTCTTCACTCATTCACAGTACGTTCAGGTTGCACAACGTCGGTGTGCAACGTCGTATAACGCGTCCCTTAGTCTAGAAGGTCATCATGACCTGATTACAGAACGGTATGGTCGCCATCGAATTTTGAATCGATTCAAAATTCTAAATCACATGCCCCGTCCGGGAAAGTCCATGAAGTTCGTAAACAGACCGTGGAACGTTGTAGCTACGTTCATTTAGTTCACACACAGTTTAACGATTCGGCAACGTTTTGACGATCACCAGAAAATTTTGAGCATGCTCTAAGTGCTGGAGGACACTCGTTATAGTAGTTTCATGAAGTTTGTAAACAGATACCAAACGGTTCTTAGTGCACAGTTTAAGCCCGTTTTCGAGAACGTAGTGAGAACTAGTTTGGTGTGATAGTAGGGTTAGTTCATTCATTATATCCGTGATGCCTCGCTGCATTACTTTTGCTAGACGAGGGCCGGAAATGGCTTGTCAAAGGGGGAAACTAGAACATGTCTGAGTGTCGGTGTGAGGTCGGATTCGGCCGAGTAAGCAACTCCTGCTGTATTCTGCCCTCCCATTATGCAAGCATTTGGAACACATTGGTGGGCCACATTAAAATGTGTTTTATCTCTTTTTACTCTGTGTTGAGGCATACAAGACAAGAGTAGTAGATCGTGTATAGATGTCACTCAATGGGTTCTGAGGTTTTAGGTAATAAAAATGATCACACTAACATACTCCATCCTGTAGCCTGTATTTCTTTAAAAGGGATATACAGGCTACAGTGAATTTGCAAATGGAGGACGTTTGTTCATTTTCATATTTCTGAAGGTATACTTGATTTTACATACATTCCAAGTGTTCTGCAAAACATTGTATAGATTTATCGAGCAGTATGCATTGTATTATTACCAGAGAAACCCCTATCGACAAACATGAAGTATACCTCCAACATTTGCTAGCCCGTACCCTTTTTAAAGAAATACAGGCTACAGTCTGGGGCTAGGTTGTGATGATTTTAATATTTGTGAATTTGCTCGCGTGACCTGGTCATGTATGCAAAACAAACTACTAGCTAGATTCACGCCATCTATTGTCAGTACACTAACCCATTTCGTCAATATTTTCTACCAATCCTTCCTATTTCTTCTGAATGTATGACAGAATTTGTTGTTTTTACTTTTGAGTGTACGAGTTAGCTCAGGAGTAACACATATCTAAGATAATAGATTCCAATTTATATTTAATGGGTGTCGACCGGTTGTATGGCTTCCCTTCTGCTGCATGGCCCAACCTCGATTGAATGGAAAAGATGTTGTCCAATATTTAATATGCGTCACCGTATTTTGACATACAGTAACAAGGGTTGAATATATCATTCATAAGTAGGGCGAATGTGGGCTCAAACATGAAGCCAGTTCAAAGATTCCTATTCTTGTTTTTACAGATCGTTGGTTATAGAGAGGACCCCGCTTATTTCCGTAACTGTATTCTCACTGCCCGTGACTGCGCTGGTCCCATTTATGTTGTGATCGTTGTTGTTGACGGCCACGAAGAAAGGGACGCTTACATGGCGGAAATCGTCACAGAGGTGTTTGGACCGGATGTGACGATGCAAATAATTCTCGATGAGCTAGCTGCTAACATTGATGAAGACGCCTGGCAGGATTTGGTTGTCAAACCTGTAGCTGAGTATTTAGGGGATGGCAGCGAATATACTGGTGCGATCCGGGAAGAAGACGAGGAAATTACGTACAAAGTTCTTGCTATTCGACAACTCCACGAAGGGAAACGCTCCGCAATGCATTGTGCTATGAGATTGTTGATCGATCTGGGGTTGGATTATATTATGATGACTGATTCTGATACCCTCCTTGACCCAGACTGCATCGCTCATTTGTCAAATTTAATCGAGTCTGATTCCAGTCTTGGTGCTGTTACGGGTAATGTCGGGATCTTCAATGCTAATGAGAGCCCTATCTCTTATTTAAGCGCAGTTAAGTACTGGTACGCTTTTAACATTGAGCGTTCCGCCCAAAGTTTGTTTGGAGTGGTCTCTTGCGTGTCGGGACCACTGGGACTATACCGTGCGAAAGATGTTGAAAAGGTGCTACATGAGTGGTATTTTCAAAAATTTCTTGGAGTGCCGTGCACTTACGGAGACGACAGACATCTTACGAATAGGATACTCTCTCTGGGGAAAAATGTAAAATTTACACATTTAGCAACTTGTACTACGGAAACACCGACAAATATGATCCGATGGATTGTCCAACAAACACGATGGACGAAGTCATTCTTTCGTGAACTTGGCTTTAACTTGATGTGGGCTTTCAAAGTTAATTTCTATCTCACGTGGGTGTTATTATACCAAGGGATTTACCCTTTCTTCGTATTGGCAAGTATCGTTACGCTGCTGTTCTCAAACTCAGCAAATAGTATTGCAACATTATTAGTTGTCATGATTCTTGTCAGCACATTTAGGGCGGTCCTCGCCTTTGCTATTGCTAAGCAACCGCGTCTGTTAGTCTACATTATATACAGTTTCCTGTACGTTATATTTATGATTCCAACGAAAGTACATGCAGTATTAATGCTGTGGGACACCGGCTGGGGCACATCGAGTAGACTAACTGTGAAAAACGGAAATCCTATCCACCTTATACCGATGTGTCTCTGGAGTAGTCTAATCGTCGGAGGTGTCACGTACAATTTTATAACAAATCTGTTTCTCGAGTAATCCAGTGTTTATTGTCCCCAAGGGATACAGTTCTCTCCAGTATGGAACGCTAAGGTGTCCTCCAGTAGGTTCCCTAACCAAGTATAAACTTATCCAGTCTAGCTATGAAGCCCCGATTTATGTAATAATTAATAAAGAAATCACACATAGCTAGGCATGATATATAAAATGTTTACCAATTAGGACACATTACTTACAATAAAATTCATTCTTTATTTCACAACAGAGTGAATGGCTATTTTCCGAAAAGCAAATTAAGTGAAAAGGTAGGTGTTAATGCACGTCATAATGCCAGAAGGTTGAACCTTGCAAAACGCTTGCAAAAAGTCTCTATATGGATTTCATTATTTTTTAATTAGAAGACAACATCTTTTGTAATGTGTGAAAACGAATAAAGCACGTGACTTTAACCCATCATTAGTTTTGTTTAGTTTAATAAAATGTTATTTCTGTTTTAAAGGGTTTACTTAAATACAAATGAAATCCACGATTAAAAACCCAACAGTCGACCTCGGCTTACGAGACACCGATAAAGCATGATGAACATATATGATAAACTGGTTTAACAGTTGAATTGAGTAAATTAGAGTATTACAATTGAACATATTGAATGAGATCAAAATAGATGTTCACCTCTGAAAACTGAACAATTCGGAGACAATATGACTGGAGTATCGACTTGACAGTAAAGCATGTACATGGTATACTGTATAAGTGGTAATTTTGCCTAATTATAATTTGCCTAATTTTTGTCAAGTTCGGAAAATTAAATGTCGGAAATATTATATTCATAATGTTATCTAATGGGAAGTTTCTTGTCATTAGGAAAATTAAAATTAGGAAAATTGTAAAATTTGATCATTCGGCAAATTAACCACTCGATTAAATACCACTTATACAGTAGATAAATATACACAGAGATGTCATTTTAAAATACAATAAAGGAAAATGATCACATATTTATGGCTTGAAGAGTAACGTACACACATTTTCACAGTTTTAAAACATTTTAAAAAGAAGCTCCGAATGTTCTTTGCATGTAGCATTATTAGGAGGCCCCGTATCATACATCAATTTAAGGATAGTATTCTTTACCATTTATTTATTATATAATTCCCTTTCTCCTACTTCCAAATCTACCACTCCCATATCTACCATATGTCTCTATTAGAAACCTCGGCTGAACTTGGCAGGAATTTTTTATTTAAGTCAAGGCCAAATTTTAATGTCTAGGTCAAATATATTCCATTCCAATCTAGGCAAATTTTACAAAGATATTGAGATATTAAAGGTAAAAAGTTATAAAAGCACTTGCTTTAAATATCTGACCAATGTTTTAAAAGAAAAAAACATCGACAGATCATGGATTTGTTTTCAAATAGACCCCGAGTGTCTGTTTATCTTTATTCTTCAAAAACCACAAGGGATTCATTTATCCCATTTCAGGGAGAATTTTAAAATTTATTTTTGCATATTCTGCAAAATTTTCTTTGAAATCCATGCATTTTCAAAAATATTTTTTCGAAATAATAAATATGGACATTTTGGCCCACTCCGTAGATATTAAATGTCATCGAGGGATATGCTGAAACCCGTATAAAACAGTTTTGTCTCATCTTCTTCATTCGCATGAAGCTGCTACACGTATACGAAGACATACTAAAATGAATTGCACGATAAAAATACAGAAATACATTTCATTATTTGTAGTAATACTCGGAATGTTATTTTGGGGAACTCAAAATGGTTGGAACATATTCGCAGTTGCGATGAAGAAAATATTGAACTGTACTCAAACCGATATCGAGAACATCGCAACAAGTGGTGAAATTGGTGCATTCGTTGTATGGATTTGGACCGCAAGTGACATCTATAGTTGCTTTTGTACTTACTGGACTCGGATATCCTCTGATGTGGATGACAGCAGAGTTCACAGGATATTTCAGGTCAAATATTTGGCTTGTGTACATTACTTACTGTATCACGATGCTTGGACAGGCATGGTGTTTCGGCTATTGGGACCAACTCAATTAATTTTAAAGAAAATCACCTTGGAAAAATAATTGGTCTTATCTATGCTATGTCTGGCGTAAGCCCTGGAATTTTAAGTCTCATATATGATAAGTATTTTGTGCTGGGACATATTCTGGACGAGGAGAACCAAAATGTTGGAGAATTCATGATTTTTATACATTCGTCAATCTGCTAGGGATTGTGGGTTTTAGGACAGTGCCCGTAGACACAATACCAACTTTGGAGGATACAGAATTAAAGGAAACCAAAGCCACAAATGATAACACCAAGGAAAATACACAAATTACTGCCGATGGACGAGTCAGCGAGAAAGAAGAGAAAAATAGAATCGAACACAATGACAAGACTCCACTGATCAAATTATATCCTCAAATACACTAGAACTTGAATGTTGCAAAAGATTTCATATTTTATTTTGGATCGTTTGCATCATTGGTTGTGTGAGTACATCTTTCTGCACGAATATCACAATAGTCGTGAAATCTGCACATCTCGAAGCAAGGTCAACATTATTTACTACGGTTATTCCAATTTGTAGCTCGATAGGTCGGCTATTTTGTGGAACATTACCTGACTATATCCGAGAGGGCTTGAGCGCCAGCACGTCCAGGCTTGGCGATTGGGCGCCGTAATCACGAGGTTGCGAGTTCGAGACGTGTGTGCTCCTTGTGTATTTTCATTGAAAAACTGGAAAAGATTACCCATTTCCTCTGTGGTGCTGTTCACATATATTTTGGCGTGCATTTGCCAAACTGTCTTCATAATTTTAATCAAGTCTACTTGATCTTGTTTTGAACTTCTATAATTTTGACTACAGTAAACGGTGCAGTAATTGTATTCATTCCTCTAATTGTCATTGGCCTATTAGGCAATAAGTATTTTGGACAAAACTTGGGTAAAACCCTGATCGCCAATGGTGTAGGAGCGCTTGTATTTCTAAAAATCTTTAGTTTATGATTTAAACAGCCCAGCAGGGTCCATCGATTGTTATGGACAGGCGTGTAGTATGTGGACATTTGCGATATATGCCATCATGACACTGATTGTGACTTGTCTCAATACCTTGTTGATCTATGCGGAATGGTCCGCTCAAAAGCTAGAAGAGTATCATTTTCCGTTTGTTAGATCTTCTATTCATTCAAACATAATATGACAAAACTTTTGGCATTTATATAAAAGTACCTCTGACAGAGTTTGTGTCTTCTATCAATGTTTCAAAGTGTCGTATATTGACACTACAATCACAACAACCTTGTCGTTTATTTACCGTTTCACGTGGTATCGGATGTATGCCAAAATATGTGAAATTCCAACTTGATTTCCTTTTGAAACAATGAAATATCTTGCTCTGAAAGAAAATAATTCTACCTTCAAAAAGGTTGTCAAGGTATTGAAAAATACATTTTTATACTACAGACATCGACATGCTGAGACTATGATGTGTTACGGATATCGGGACCATGGTACGCCATCTGCCTGTGCACTGTGTAACGGATACAGGGACTATAGTACATCATCTGTACTGTGCACGAGACCTATATGTGTCACAGGGACTATTGTACATCATTTGCCTGTGCACGAGACCTATATATGTGTCACAGGAACTATGGTACATCATCTGCCTGTGCACGAGACCTATATGTGTCACGGGGACTATGGTACGCCATCTGTCTGCACTAGATCTATACCTATAATAGTACGCCACCTGGCTGTGCACTAGATCTAGATCTACATGATCTAAAAGACGATCGACTACCTCCAGCTGATGCTTTATATCACATAAATCATCTATGTAAATTAGTTAAGTAATAACAAGAAACAAATATTCAATATCTGTCACTGCACTGCATGGTGTACCTGCATCAAATGCATCAAAAATCATCTGATTCTTTATATCACATAAATCATCTATGTAAATGATTTAAGTAATAACAAGAAACAAAATTCCGAACATGCACTCCGGCCTTAACTTGTCTATTCAATTCATATTTATATCATTTGCAAACAGGAATCACTCCTTCCCCACATTGTCTACATCTTCCAGTTTTGCACAAAGAGTGCACTTGTGTGCCTAGAAAAGACTGGTGAGAAGATTTGTTTTGTTCAGTGAAAACATTTTGAATTCTTTCACTGAATTGTCTTGTTTGTTATACATTTTATCAAAACATTCTTCTTCACATTCATACATTAGTATACTTGTGCAAAAGTGAGAGATGTAAACATTGAGGGGAAAGAGTGATTCAAATTTGAAAAATAACATGTGACTCAATTGAGGAATGCAGCAAATTTCCGAACATGCACCTTGACCTTAAGAAAATGATTAAATAATGGAACTTAGCTGTGTCTGTACTGTATTAATTTGATATGATATATATAACATATTTCATTAAATAGTTGGTAAGTGTAAACACAAAAATTGGGCCTATACGAACATGCATGCAGATTTACCTTAAAACAAACCATTGCTCCAAACAAGATACAATATGATATATATTTTTTGCTATTGAATGCACTAATCCATTTACAACCGATCGCAGGGATACACTGAAGGCAATGCCCCAATCAAATAATGCCTGGGTCACCTTTGCTCCGATCCATCGGCCGGCGCCCGGCCGATTGAGTGTTTTGTTCAATATTGTATTCAATTTTGAACAAAATACTCAATCGGCCGGGCGCCGTAGTGAAAATCGGGGCAAATATGACCAAGGCATTATCTCCGATTCATCGCTCGGCGCCCGACCGATAAGTGTTTTGTTCAGAATTGCATTCATAATTGAACAGAATACTCAACCGGCCAGGCGCTAGCCAGCCGATGAATCAGACCTTATGTGACCTCGGCATAAGCTAACTGTGCAATAGGCCTTTTGATTCCATTATGTAATTCGTTGAAGACGATTTTTGAGCTTGGTTCGTCTCGGGGAAGGAGTGTATACGTAGGAGCTTCAATAAAGTGAAAAGTAGGTGTTTCCTTAGATTTCCCTTGACCCAGTTGAATTCCCTTTATTGACTCATTCAGACCTTCAAAGGAGCTAGTGTGAATTATTTATATCTTTTCAGTGTTTTGAAGTAAAGCATTTGTCTTGTTAGTCCAACAACATTAGACCTAGCCCGGGCCTCGTTTCTTATCTGACATGTGTTATGGCCCGGCTAGGTCTAACCTCCATGACCATTTTGCCTTTGATGCGTTAATTTAAGGGCAGGGTGCATGATGGGAAATTTTCTGCATTCCTCAATTGAGTCACATGTTATTTTTCAAACAAGAATCACTCCTTCCCTTCATTGTCTATATCTTCCAGTTTTGCACAAAGAGTGCACTTAAATGTGCCTAGAAAAGACTTGTGAGAAGAATGTTTTGATAAAGTGTATAAAAAACAAGAAAATTCAGTGAAAAAAATCAGAAAATTTTCAGAAATTTTTTTCACTGAATTTTCTCATTTTTTATACAATTCACAAAACAAACCTTCTCACAAGACTTTTCTAGGCACAGAAGTGCACTCTTTGTGCAAACTTGGAAGATGTAGACAATGTGGGGAAGGAGTTATTCATGTTTGTCAAATAACATGTGACTCAGTTGAGGAATGCAGAAAATTTCCCAACATGCACCCTGTCCTTAATCGTTCAGCAGGTTTCGACAAGCGGAACTAATTGAACCCTGAAAACATGGCAATATTACACAAAGAATGTGATTCAAGCATGCATACATACCTTATAAACACATACACCCCGTCCCGTATCCCCCTTAGACCCTATTGATGCATAATTACGAAAATATTGGAGACAGGTTTGGAATATGACGAAAATGTCGGTCAGTTTCGGTAACATCGAAATTGCAAATCGTTTCAGGAATTAACCGTCATCACGGCACTGCATTAACGAACAGTTGGTTTGCAATTAATAACTATTTTGCGTGTATATACGCGCTATATAAATTAATCAAAGATACCTGTTATCCTCAAAATTGATCTTTTTATCCCGAGTAATCGCGATAATAATTATCAATCTATTTGACAACAATTTCGTTTCGCTGGTAGTTTAATTTTACGATCCGGGACACTCAGACGAACAGACACAATGACGGACATGCGGAAATGTCACTTTAGAGATTGGTAAGTGTAGCCTCATTTTACTCGTATAAATGAACATTTAACACAATAATATTGTGTTAAATCGCTTGATGTTACACTGTATGTGTTTTTATATTATTGTCAAGTATCAGTTGCACCATATTGCGGAAAAATGGTTTCGATGGATTCAGAACTTGCATCAAAAGAAAGAATAGTAAGGAGGTTAAACTCAATAATGGCCCCAAGAAAATTCCTAATAATAAAGAACGCCGTTATTGAGTTTAACGACGTTGAACTATTGTCTTGTCTGGTCTTTCACGTATCTTCTCCAAGAGGTATACGTTTGATTTTGTACAAAAACTATATATAAGGCATTTTTATTGATTTAGATCGCCTACCCGAATCACCTACCCGAATCTAAATGACAAGCAATCAAATTGCAACAGTGTATGGATCTGTACACGAGGCCTAACTTGTGATCTCCTTTAGGAAACCCGTTAGTTGTATTGCGTCAGTAAAACCTAAAAAAACTCAAAATATCATTATGCAATAATATATGGAAAAATATATTCCAATTGTACATAAATGACATTTGTTTATCTTGGATTGCTTCTAGTTTAGCTTATAAAGTGTATGGCCTCTTATATTTTGATGCTTCTATGCCATAGTATTTTCAAAAAGATTAACATGGCTGAAATGTTTTAAATTACAAGAGGGCACAGGCTTATTGCACAAAATAACTAAATAATCTGAAATACTTATACTCCTTCCCCACATTGTCTATATCTTCCAGTTTTGCACAAAGAATGCACGTATGTGCCTAGAAGAGACTTGCGAGAATAATGTTTTGATAAAGTGTATAAAAACAAGAAAATTCAGTGAAAAAATTCAGAAAATTTCAGAAATCTTTTTCACTGAATTTTCTCGTTTTTTTATACATTTTACAAAACAAATCATCTCACAAGTCATTTGCTTCGATTTTCACTACGGCGCCCGGCCGATTGAGTATTTTGTTCAAAATTTATTACAATATTGAATAAAGCATTCAATCGGCCGGCCGCCGGCCGATGGATCGGAGCAAATGTGACCCAGGCATATCTGAGATTTCATCCTAAAAATGTATTCCTCTGAATGATAAATAAGGGCTTGACAACCGAGACAATGGGAAACTAAGAGCCATTTCTTCAAGGCCATGGTAACAGGCATCTTAGATTTGTGTCGGAATTGCCTAATTTTAATTGTCAACTCAAATCAAGGTAACAAGTGCATCTTGAACTTTGTTATGATTTATTTGTATTGTGTAATTATCGAGTACATAGTGTAATTAATAGGCATACAATTTTAGGCAAACGTGTCGTTACTTGGGTCTCTAGATGCCATTGTTTGCTATTCGGGATTGGCCCTTAAGATTTGGTGCTCCGCTTTGGACATTATTGATTCAATATAAATACAATTAGCCCTAGTATTTGTAGAATTGAGCATTTATATTTGTAATATAATTCAATTACATGTCTCTCCGGATGGTATCGTCTATATATAGTTTGACATTGAATATGCTTTTCCATTTCCATTTGCATTTTGTTTGCGGTAAATATCCGATACTAGTGACGTCATTGAAACACGCTATGTACATTTACAAGACATAAGAAGAAAACAAATGTTCCCGACCAAATATGCTTATATTAAATATTAAGATTAAGATTAAGAGTTTTGTTGATTTTACCTAATTGAAATGACATGTCCTAGTGTTACCAAAATCAGGCTATGATGTTTGATTTGGTTTGCTTAAAACTGACCTCTTCTAAGTTTTGAAAGCAGTCCGTCACAGAAGTCGTCTGCAACAGGTACCCATCTCCGCGAAGCATCCCACAAGATGAAGCTGTTCGTTGTAACTTTGGCTGCTCTGCTAGCAGTAATATCTGCCTCTCCTAGGACTGGCCCATTTAAAGTTTCAGTTGAAAAAATTGAAACCAACCGTAAGTATATACTTTTCTTTTTATTCAATTAAGGAAACTGTCAAAATACAAAAAGATTTTTTTTTAAGATTACATATTGGAAAATAATAGAGAATTTAGCAATTTCAATTGATAATCTTTTTAATTAAAACATAATTATATAGCTTCATTTTGTTAAGGTTAAATGGGCAACAAATATTAGAGACAAAATGAGAGTAACTCTCTTGATAAAGTTTAGGTATTTGTTAACGACATCTCATCCCTTGTTATGTTCATTGTTTTAAAACTTATTATATTTTCTGATGATTCTTTGAATTAAAACTTTTGAAAAAACTGTAACATCTTTTAAATTAATTAAAACATTTCTGCATCTTGAATTTTTAATGACGTCCGATATCAAAATCTGACTTCTCGAGTCTATCTTTAAATAATGATACAAAATTGGATTATTAGGAGATCATCGGAATGATCCTAGAAATTATTGCTTTTATCATTTTACATCTCTAATCTTTAAGTCCACTTCAATTTAAATAGATGAAGAGAAATTACTGAACAAAGTTGTCTCCGAAATAAATTTATTCCAAAAATGTATTAAAGGGATGTCCTTTTCTGCATAAAACATTAAAATGAAAGAATTATCATGGAATAAAGCCAGAAAGGACCTTTTTAGAAAAAGGCACAACATGAAATGGTCAAAGCAAAAATGATTAATTGTAATTAATCATTTTTTGTCTCTTCTAGCTATAGCACCTTTAAGGCAGTGATCAGTGTGTGAAAAATGGTTCCCCACAGCTTATATTGGGGTTTTTGTCATCCTGTTATGCTTTCTCATACAACGAACCCTATCTGTGGCTGCGATATGTAATCTCTCACTGTGGACATTATGGGTTTCAGTTGTTTTCAGTTTGATTCTTGGTTTCCTTGGATATTCAGTGATTTTATACTGTTCGCACTTTTCCTTAAAACACATTTTCAAAGGTTTATTAATAGTGACAAAAATTGTTTTGCCACGGTCACGAACATTTTTCAAAGCACATCTCGCGTGCAAGGATTTTTGATCAATTCAGAAGAAACCCGAACTAATTGAATTGTTAAATTAATTTTTCTTTCTCTTCATCCTATAAATTACCAAACTTGTACCATAACTAACATTTTATTCTATGTTTCAAATAAATCTAATGAATTATGATAAAATATTATTACCGCCTGTTCTAGGGGTTTTATGCTAGTTTAGAAGGCATTTATTTTACTATATCGACCTGAGCAATATGTGACGTCATAGTGGCGGGCAATATTGCCAGTCAATATATTGCCCTTCGAAATGACGTTATTGTACTTTTATTGCTGTTATAACTAATTATCTTTGTATTTTAGTCAGTCCAAGAGTAAGAAGAGCGGCATTGAGCCTTGATGAATACCGTCAGGAGCAACTTGTAGACCACAACAATTACCGCGATGTCCACGATGCATCCCCTCTATCCCTCGAGTAAGTAAATGCATTTGATTTCTGAACGGGAATTTGCATTGTCGGAACTTGATATAATTGAAACAATTTAGTGAGGACCTCTAAATATTTTCATCTAACCTTAAAAATCCATATCCGACCTTGACCTGGATCGACGACAATATTGAAAATGTTGTAATTATCTGATATTATAATTGACTATAAATTCATAATCAGCAATCCAAAAGATTTAAAATAACATTTTAATCCACGTTGTATTCCATCTTGTACTCCATTGGTTACTCTGTTAAATCCTATTTATATGTTCAATATTAATCTGCTCATTGACAGAACACAAGTCAAGAATTAATGACTTTGATAAGTGCCATTCTATCATAAAAAAGCTGTGAATATAACACATACTTCAAAGGGTATGTATTCTCATTTTGAGATCTATATGATTATATAATCGACTGATTTTATACATACTGCTTGTTTCAGTGCTAATCTTAACGCCGAGGCGCAAGCGTACGCCGAGCACCTCGCACAGCTGGGTTCCATGACACATTGTACCAGAGCAAAGCGACAGCTGAACCAAGCCGGGATAGGTTGTGATGAAGGAATCCATGGCAACGGGGAAAACCTCGCCTGGAGCAGCTGTAAGTTTACCGAACCTATTTCAAGTTTTCCGTTTTTCATTCATTTTTTCATGTGTACCAATGAGACTTGAGCTTGGTTTAATTTTTTCATACCTCAAATGTATTAATTTTCACCATGTATGAATTTAAAATAGTAACCAGTTTCAAAATTTTAAAAATTGTATCTATTCACCAGCAATACCTTATATGGCGTTAGGTTCTGTAATTGATATCCTATGATTCTTGAAGAGCTTTCATTTTTATCTAATGATGGATATCGACCATCTAGCAATCAAATTGCGTTTAAACTCTTTGTTAAGACGTTTTGTGAAGAAATCGTAAAAACTGTTATCCAAATAGTCTATCGGGCAAATTTTGAATGTGGACCCCCTCCCCTCGTCAACTTCACTAGTCTAGTGCCTTGGTAACATTTGCTCCGATTTTCACTACGCCGCCTGGCCGATTGAGTATTTTGTTCAGAATTGAATAGAATTTTGAACAAAATACTCATCGGCCGAGCGCCGGTGCTGAAAATCGGAGCAAATGTGACCACGGCATAAAACAAGACAAGTTCAAAATTTATAGTGTTTCAAGTTGAACAAAAGCCTCGCTCACAAGTAAAATGTTTTCTATCTTCTACTTCTCCCTTGTCACCAAAACTCATAATTTTCTTTTTAGCTCAAACCACAGACCTCAACACTGCAACCAAGATGTGGTACGATGAAGTGTGCCTCTATGACTTCGGTAATCACGGATTCAGTGTAAGATTATTTGAGACCATCCTCCTAAGCAGGTATCCAGAATCCATACCCCATTCTTCCCCCTGCTTTAACCAATTTGGAAGCGCCGATTAAACCGAATCACGTGATCTAATAATGCTGCAGTGTTGCGACAGCCAATCAGATTGCGAGTTCTTAATCGGGGAAATGTTAACTGCTTATCGCAGGGGGTAAAAAGAAAGAATATATTCTGGATTTTGAAGCCCTGTGGTCGGAGGATGATTTGAGACCTTTGATCATCTAATTATATCTGATAATTATTGACTGATACCATACCATACTTTGTTTTTATTAAGAACTTCATTTCGTTTATCATTTATGAATTCGTTGATGGTTTTAAGCATGATATACAATGTATATCGTAGCTTAGCTGTTAATACTATTTTGGTAACATTTTATTGCGGATATGTTTGGGTTAAATCTTGATTGTGTCTTTCATTTATTGGTTAAGCTCAATACATATCCACCATGTAGTGCCTTATTATTTAGTCCCTAGTGGTTCCCTAGTAGGTTCCAATGGCGCCTTTAAGAATTAGCACGTGCACCTACTCCTACTAGTTCCAAAGTTGGATTAGATCATATATCTAAGACAGGGACTGAATATGCCTTGAGAGCCCCTGGAGTGGTACTTGCTGTGCCCCATTAGCCTCCATCCTCCTAAGCAGGTGTCCAGAATCTGTACCTCCTTCTTCCCCCTGCTATAACCAATTTTGAAGCGCCCGGTTAAACTGAATCACGTGATCTAATTATGCGCAATGACTTATACATGATTTCTGTCGCAGTATTGCTACAGCCAATCAGATTGCGAATTCTTAATCGGGGAAATGCAAACAGTTTATCGCAGGGGTAAAAAGAAAGAATATATTATGGATTTTGAAGACCCGTGATCGGAGGATGCATTAGCCCTCCGAAGCTCCCTATACCAAGTATCTTTGGTAGTGCGTTATTAAAACCATATATAGACTTTGTCGTTTTGTGTTTTAAATGGAAACAGAATGTGTTGAAATAGCCCCACGTGTTATAAAGCAGGTGTCCCAATAGCCACAAGTTGAAATGCCCTGGCGAATCGTTAATCACTAAAACAATGTCAATAAAAATCTTCATATTTTAATATTTTAGATGGAGACTGGACATTTCACACAGGTTGTGTGGAGGCCAGCCACTTTGCTGGGAATAGGACGAGCTTCTGGTAGCAGTGGGGTAAGCAAACTGTATTTTTATTCAAGACAATTAACACCCTGACCCTGAGGCACAGGAAAACGTGAAAAATGTTTAAAAAGTCCCCTAGTGTACTGAGTTGGTAATGCGTGGTGTATACATGTACATTATATCTTTTACTATTACTATTACTTACATTGAATAAGAATAAGACTGATTTTTTTTATTAATGACTGTATACCCGGGCCTCAGCCCTGACCATGCCTTAATCGTATTTACATCGTGCCGTATGCCTGGGTCACATTTGATGCGATTCGTCGGCCGGCACCCGGCCGATTGAGTATTTTGTTCAAAATTGAATACATTTCTGAACAAGATACTCAATCGGCTTCAATGCGCCGTTGTGAAAATCGGAGCAAATGTGACCAAGCCATTACTCGTACTCTTTACTTTACTTACTGATTCACTTTGTACTCAAACTTGATAATTGTCGTTGTACTAGCTAATTCACATTGTACTTGATAATGAACTTTGTATTTTAATTTTCTCAATCTCTGTACTTTAATTTGCTAACTTATTTTGAACTTGGTCATTTTATTTGTACTTCCATTTGCACCTTGACTTCTTGCTAATTCACTTCGTACTTCGTAACTGACTATAAATTCATAATCAGGAATTCAAAAGATTTCAACTAATATACTTTTAATCCACATTGTATTCCACAATTAAACTTGTACTTTAACTTGAAAATTATCTTTGTACCCACTTTGGTATACCTGTTCGCGTTTGTTTAGATGTAATTCTCAATTACATTAAAATATATGTTTCCTGTTGTTCTTAAAGATGTATTTCTTGCTTTATAGACCTTTGTGGTTGCTCGTTACAACGTTCAACAGGGAATGTCATTCGCCACAAACGTTGGCGACAAACCTGCCAGTTTGGATGACGATTGTGGCACAGCTGGAACTGATGAGCCCGAAGAACCTGTTGCACCTGTGGAAGTGTCCGCCCTAGCTGATGCCCGAAAGGACGTATGCACAAATTTGGGATACCCGTACCCCGACCACACTCCATACCCCGACCAATTTGGCTATAACTCCTGTTGGTTGGTCTGCGGTAACCCTGCCAGTAAGTATTTTGCATTTGGTGTTCATGAGCAACCCTTTGGCTTATTACTAATGATTATGTTATTTGTTTTTATTTGTCTGTTCATTATTAATGGTTTATCGGTTGAATGTTAGATGTTACTAAGGCACTTTTAAAATTGTACTAAACAATACAATTAGACAAACAAAGTATCTTATGCATTTCTAGGTGTTAGGTATAGTAGAGTGTATTTACAATGGATGATTTCTCATGATTTGGATAATCAGACCGCTATGGTTATCAATAATGGCTTATATAAATCAATAACAGAATATCAGGATTGAGTAAAATTATTTAGTACCTAGTGTTATACTAACCTGAGGCCTTATTCACAAAGCATCGCAATTTCGCTATGGCGCTATCGCAATCGCAAAGCAATTTTTAGCGAATTTTCTTATTCACAATGACGTGCTAAATATAGCGATTGCAATATCGCTATTTTCCTATAGCAATCGCAATAAAATCGCTAATATTTAGCGATGGGGTACTACCTGTCCGCAATTCAGTCGCAATATTCAGCCATCTTTGATCCTTAATTTACACTCTAATGCGTTGGCTATTAGAAGTGAGATTATGCATATCGATATTTAGGCACAGCCTCAATACGGAGGACTGAACTATTTATTTAAAGGCCTATTTTCCTTCATTCTATAATGCTGTAAAGATGGGTAAGTTTCAGTTATGAAAATATTTTTCAAATGTTTTTTTCGAGCAAAAATAGCGATTTAGCTATCGCAATGAGTCGTCTGTGACCACCAAATCGAGGCAATCAAGTATTTCAAGATACGCCTACATTGTATATGCCAGTATGATATAGCCTATGATTATCGTTTTATTTATTTGATGAGTACCCATACACAACTTTGATTATTAAACACAATCACAGAATGGAAAATACGTTTCTTCGTGTTAGGGATCATATTTCTCCTCTCAATTAGAAAAAAATCACGGATTTGTCCGCATTTATGGAACATGGTATATTGCGTAAAACACGGAAAACTTCCCAATGTTTGAAATTACCTACTCCATGCAATCATTTGCGTACTCTCGAAGTTCAAAAACGCTAGGAGTAAAAGCTATTGAATACGGCGTCGGAGTATTATAGGCCTAGGCCCGGGATCATAGGCTTCTTTAAAACGCACCATTCATTTTTAATTGTTTAATGGCACCATATAGTGAGTTATATAATAGACTAGACTATTTGGGTCTTGGTTTTACCCTAGTTCCATTAAAGGCAGACTCTTAGCTGGAGGGGTGACAAGATTGCTAGCAGCACTTGGCCTACTATTAATATCTAATCAATTAATGTATTTTAAACAAGCAAACAAAACAACTTTCAAATTACTTACACGTTTTTATTTTATAATGACATTCATTTGAAACGCCTTTGCGTATTTGACGTAGCCTAATAACCCTAGCTAATTACAAGGTGCGAGTTACTGTGCTAATTAATAAAATTGTATTTATTTATAATTGCGATATGTTTGCTACGTGTTTGCGATAGCGATTGCTTTGCTATTGCTTTAGAGCGCTTTTGTGAATACCGCGCAAAACGTCATTGCTATTGCTATATCGCTATCGCATAGCAATAGCAATCGCTAAAAATTGCGATGCTTTGTGAATAAGGCCTCAGATTCGCAATTATGCAGCCGATATTAAGTAGATGTTTAGAAAAAAATCAAAGACCTGTTTATATTGCATTTATAAATTCTTAGTGCAAAAATAATTCATTTCTCTAAGTTTCATTTTTTTGCAAGTAATAGCTACTTTATTGTTTTTAGGTCAATACTCTTTCTACATCTTCCCTACCTATTTCTTCTCTGATGTCATCGACTGCAAAAAATCCGATGGCAGTTTCGGTGTATGCAGTGGCGAAGTCTGCAACTAAAAGATATCAGTATTGACCCGGTGAAACCATCGAATACGCGTGATCACAAAACACGATGGACAATACCGATGATGACGTCATAGTTCTGAATTAGATATATTTTCACAAACTTATGTAGACCTTTTCGTACTGTGTATCTCTGAATAAGATATATTTTTACAAACTTATGTAGACCTTTTCGTACTGTGTATCTCTGAGTAAGATATATTTTTACAAACTTATGTAGACCTTTTCGTACTGTGTATCTCTGAATAAGATATATTTTTACAAACTTATGTAGACCTTATCGTACTGTGTATCTCTGAATAAGATATATTTTTACAAACTTATGTAGACCTTATCGTACTGTGTATCTCTGAAGTAGATATATTTTTACAAACTTATAAAGAGTAAACTGATAAACATTTTTCTTCCTTGGATCGGAAAGCAGATACCATATTAATGTTACTTAATGCTATCACGCTATTACATCTCGAGCTTTGTAGACTCAGTTGAAAAAATACATTCATATTTGACATTTTGAGTTGGAATGAAGAAAGCCATTTCTTTGTTAGCTACTTTGAAATGTAAAACGTATGACAGTGTTTCGACTCTCCTGAGTATTTGCAGTAAACTATTACCCATAAGATTATACTCTTTAAAATGGCTTTTCTTCAATAGAAATACACGTACTGTAGCATCTATATTTTGTCGTGTTGCAAATTTATGTTAAGTTTTGACTTTTACACTTATAAACTGGCCAACTATAAAATTATTTACGGTCAAAACACCTTGGATTTCATATAACCAACTTCTTGGAATTTGGGTGTAACTAAAAAACGGCATTTGAACGTGGTTTATGAACTTTACTCTTCAAAAAGCTGTATAAAGCCTTCACAATCCAACGTAATTTTGTTATCATGTCAAGTCTCCAAAGTTTACTGCAACTTTGTTATCATGTCAAGTCTCCAAAGTTTACTGCAACTTTGCTATCATGTCAAGTCTCCAAAGTTAACTGCAACTTTGTTATCATGTCAAGTCTCCAAAGTTTACTGCAACTTTGCTATCTTGTCAAGTCTCCAAAGTTTACTGCAACTTTGTTATTATGTCAAGTCTCCAAAGTTTACTGCAACTTTGTTATTATGTCAAGTCTCCAAAGTTTACTGCAACTTTGCTATCATGTCAAGTCTCCAAAGTTTACTGCAACTTTGCTATCATGTCAAGTCTCCAAAGTTTACTGCAGCTTTGTTATCATGTCAAGTCTCCAAAGTTTACTGCAACTTTGCTATCATGTCAAGTCTCCAAAGTTTACTACAGCTTTGCTATCATGTCAAGTTTCCGAAGTTTACTGCAGCTTTGTTATCATGTCAAGTCTCCAAAGTATACTGCAACTTTGTTATCTTGTAAAGTCTCCAAAGTTTACTGCAACTTTGTTATTATGTCAAGTTTCCGAAGTTTACTGCAGCTTTGTTATCATGTCAAGTCTCCAAAGTATACTGCAACTTCGTTATCTTGTCAAGTCTCCAAAGTTTACTGCAACTTTGTTATTATGTCAAGTTTCCGAAGTTTACTGCAACTTTGTTATCATGTCAAGTCTCCAAAGTTTACTGCAGCTTTGTGATCATGTCAAGTTTCCGAAGTTTACTGTAACTTTGTTATCTTGTCAAGTCTCCAAAGTTTACTGCAACTTTGTTATTATGTCAAGTCTCCAAAGTTTACTGCAACTTTGTTATTATGTCAAGTTTCCGAAGTTTACTGCAGCTTTGTTATCATGTCAAGTCTCCAAAGTTTACTACAGCTTTGTTATCATGTCAAGTTTCCAAAGTTTACTGCAACTTTGTTATCATGTCAAGTCTCCAAAGTTTACTGCAACTTTGTTATCATGTCAAGTTTCCGAAGTTTACTGCAACTTTGTTATCATGTCAAGTCTCCAAAGTTTACTGCAACTTTGTTATCATGTCAAGTTTCCGAAGTTTACTGCAACTTTGTTATCATGTCAAGTCTCCAAAGTTTACTGCAACTTTGTTATCATGTCAAGTCTCCAAAGTTTACTGCAGCTTTGTTATCATGTCAAGTCTCCAAAGTTTACTGCAACTTTGTTATCATGTCAAGTCTCCAAAGTTTACTGTAACTTTGTTATCATGTCAAGTCTCCAAAGTTTACTGCAACTTTGTTATCATGTCAAGTCTCCAAAGTTTACTGCAACTTTGCTATTATGTCAAGTCTCCAAAGTTTACTGCAACTTTGTTATTATGTCAAGTCTCCAAAGTTTACTGCAACTTTGTTATCTTGTCAAGTCTCCAAAGTTTACTGTAACTTTGTTATCTTGTCAAGTCTCCAAAGTTTACTGTAACTTTGTTATCTTGTCAAGTCTCCAAAGTTTACTGCAACTTTGTTATCATGTCAAGTCTCCAAAGTTTACTGTAACTTTGTTATTATGTCAAGTCTCCAAAGTTTACTGCAACTTTGTTATCATGTCAAGTCTCCAAAAGTTACTGCAACTTTGTTATCATGTCAAGTCTCCAAAGTTTACTGTAACTTTGTTATTATGTCAAATCTCCAAAGTTTACTGCAGCTTTGTTATCATGTCAAGTCTCCAAAGTTTACTGCAACTTTGCTATTATGTCAAGTCTCCAAAGTTTACTGCAACTTTGTTATTATGTCAAGTCTCCAAAGTTTACTGCAACTTTGTTATCTTGTCAAGTCTCCAAAGTTTACTGTAACTTTGTATCTTGTCAAGTCTCCAAAGTTTACTGTAACTTTGTTATCTTGTCAAGTCTCCAAAGTTTACTGCAACTTTGTTATCATGTCAAGTCTCCAAAGTTTACTGTAACTTTGTTATTATGTCAAGTCTCCAAAGTTTACTGCAACTTTGTTATCATGTCAAGTCTCCAAAAGTTACTGCAACTTTGTTATCATGTCAAGTCTCCAAAGTTTACTGTAACTTTGTTATTATGTCAAATCTCCAAAGTTTACTGCAACTTTGTTATCATGTCAAGTCTCCAAAGTTTACTGCAACTTTGTTATCATGTCAAGTCTCCCAAAGTTTACTGTAATTTTGTTATCATGTCAAGTCTCCCAAAGTTTACTGTAACTTTGTTATCATGTCAAGTCTCCAAAGTTTACTGCAACTTTGTTATCATGTCAAGTCTCCAAAGTTTACTGCAACTTTGCTATCATGTCAAGTCCCCACATTCCAACGAAATTGTGCCATAGCTTGTGCAACAATAGCGAATATAGACATATCTTATAAATTCTGACTTAATCAACCAAAGAATTTAGAGCTGTACACTATATAATGTGACTTCCAAATAGATAGATGGTGCATGGGCATGAATAAATTTAATGGGACGAAGATAAGTGTTTTGTAAACGTTTATTGAAAACTTAATACATCTAGCCAAATAATTAAAAACATTGATGTGATATATAATACATTTTTAAAAATAAGTTGGGTATACGCCTAACCCACCTGTCTTCTTTACCTCTAAAGTTCTCTTCTCAACGTTTATTGTAATCATGTCCCCTTTTCACTACGTTCACAATCTCCATTTAACGTAAATGTGTTCCTTTGAGTAAAACACCTTGAAGTTTATGTATCAAGTTTACTACGCCTTTCATGATGATGGTACAGTGGAAAATGACTCAGAATTTATACATGCACCATGCCCATAGGTCATTCCATTACTCCTACATCTAATACTCCCACACTTTGAAATAAACTTGACAAATTATTTTAACTTTTAACCTTGCTCTTTTATGCAGTTTGATATGGTTTATTTGCCGGCTTCAAAATTCACCCACTATTAAACAAAACATATGACATCACGCGGTGAAGCTTTTTTTGACAAACGAAGAAAACTAATTATTTAGTGAGATGGTGTGTAGTCCATACAATGCTATCCTGATAGTCCATGACATATGGTACAATCACAATACAGAGGATTTTATTCAAGACCTTTGCAAAATCGTCCATTTTTGATAACCATTGAAGCACTTTAAAATGGTATCAGACAATCAAATGAAATGGCATCTATTTTCAGCTACGATGGTAAATAATCACAAATAAATGCGTACAATCGTTGTTTTATTAATTTACATGGCGAAACTTTTGGAATCCAGATTCAACTTTGTTTAGCTCGGCAACCATCTTGGATGAAGCTAACTGCAGTTAGAGCCATCCAGGTGTGGAACAGTGATTTTGTTGGAGGTATTTTATCAACGCCGGTTGAACCAAAAGAACAATATACATGTACATCTAATTCAATGTCCATGAAGCGCACTCGCCAATGGACGTATATAGTATTTCTTTCAAGATGAGGAGATTCTGACATCTTTCTATATCTAGTATTTTCTATTTGGTAATATTTAGTTGTTCAAAGCGTGTTAGAATAATTTTTGAATCGTTCATTTTGTTTGTTACATCTAGGTCCAGCAAAAAAAATTCAAAAAGGTCTTAGTGAATGAGATGATGGGGATTTTGTATTTATCCCAAATCCAATGCACGAAGACATGATAATATGCAGCTTTTAAGTCAATTGTGAATATCCCGGGCCCATGTTAAGTCAATACACCCTTGCTGAAATCTCAGACTCAAGTTGATCGGGTCTTAACAAATGAGCCTTGCCATAGGAAAACCGGTCTTATCACAAAAATTAGAATTGTGCTAGAGAGCCAAAAATGTGCCCAAGATTTAGAGAAAAAATGTGCTAAATTCAAATCCAACATTTAGGTCTATATATGCAAGGAAAAATTGTAAAGCCATAAGCCATGGCTAATTTGAAAGGTCTCTTTGTGCTAAGATAAACAAAAAATTAGAATATTGAGAAAATCTGTGATAAGACCCCTTTTCCTGGGCCTGGCCAGGAAAATAACTCGCAATTGATCTATTTTTGGAGCTGTTCCGACCCCCCTCCTTCTGGACTATGCGTGTGCGTCGATACATGAACTTGAAAAATTATCCTCGAAACCATACTAAGTCTTCAATCGTTGCTAAATGACTTAATTGAATTTGTACTTTGGGAATGGACTTCCTGAATTTATGACCGCTATTGTCCATGCCTGTTTCTATTTTTCTCTTGAAAATAGTTCCTTTTTATGAAAAATATAAAATAACACCCAAATTAAATTATGAATATTCAAAAGAGGACATTTAAATCTACAATATGTAAAAATATCAAAATAGTCCAAAGCAGGCGTAACGTGCAGTAGACTGATGAACTTAGTTCTCCAACCGATACTAGTCTTTTAATCGTAATGTGGAGATTGTAGACAGGTAGCTGGAACCATCAATTAGTTAGAATCCCTTAAGGTTTTATTTTATTTCATACATTTTTCATCATGAAGGATGCTGCATCTTTTTTTGCATTAATCTTTTGTCTTGATATACATTACACTCAGTCTGCTATTCTATACATTACACTCAGTCTGCTGTTCTATACATTACACTCAGTCTGCTGTTTTATACATTGCAATCAGTCTGCTGTTCTATACATTACACTCAGTCTGATGTTTATACATTAAACTCAGTCTGCTGTTCTATACATTACACTCAGTCTGCTGTTCTATACATTACACTCAGTCTGCTGTTTTATACATTGCATTCAGTCTGCTGTTCTATACATTACACTCAGTCTGCTGTTTATACATTACACTCAGTCTGCTGTTCTATACATTACACCTAGTCTGCTGTTCTATGCATTACACTCCGTCTGCTGTTCTATACATTACGCCCAGTCTGTTGTTTTATATATTAAAAAGAAAGCTACGATTATATAAAATTCTTATTTAAAAGAAAGTTAACGTTATACAATAATCTGATAACTAGTTTTTCTCAACCATTTGAGTGATTACTGAACTTTTGATGCCCTTTCGCTCTTTACAGGTAACAACAAACATCTATTATTACCAACTACAGGACTGGTATATCACTCTACTATACCTAACCCCTAGAAATGCATAAGATACTCTGTTTGTCCAATTGTATTGTTTAGTATATTTTTGAAAGTACCTTATTAACATCTAACGTCATCCGATAAACCATTCATAAGGAACAGACATATAAAAACAAATAACATAATCATTACTAATACGTCAAATGAGTTGCTCATGAACACCAAATGCAAGGTATAGTAGAGTGTATATGCGCTGCCATTCCATAGAACACTGTTTCTTTACGTAACATGTCAGTAAAAATGATGGCCTGATTGTATTTGTAAAAAACCTGAGCTATTAAATCTCTTTTGTTTCCATTTGGACTCGTGCATCTTTTGGTTAAAGCTTAACATGTACTCTACGCAACATTGGTAAGACTTACTTATTGCTTTGTTACAAAGAATTTTACAGAAAAGGCTTATAAGTAACGAAGGATTTTGAAACTCTTCGTAACAAACGAAGCGATTTATAGATTTAACTTTACTGTCATGGCTACTTACCCTTATATCTTAAGCTTATAGTGTATCCGTGGATGCAAATAGCGGTTAGCGGCTACCGGATTAACCTACTATTTTATGGGCAAATCATTTAAATATGAATAGTACTAAGTCTTGCTTCTCTCCCATTCAACTTCAAATGAGTTGGTCATGAAATAGTAGGTTAATCCGGTAGCCGACAGGCGTTAGTTGCATTCGCGAATACAAGATTAGACATTAGAATGGAGATCAAGTCAAAGTGCAAAGTGTATTTCGGTTTGCAAAGGGCAGTAAAACAGATGCCTTATGTATTGAAAAGCGACAAACTCTGGCATCGATAGCTATACAGTTCGCAATTATCATAATCAACTTATGTCAAAATAACATATCGATGAATTTCACAATTGCAAACCAACGTGGGTGTTCAAATTGTACTGCACACGATCTCAGTATGTATTTTAAATTATCTGCGTCTATGTCTAGCACATTGATATACAAATTTGCCTATTTTTGATTAATTATATAAAATTCGGGAAAAAAAGACTCGTGCTAATACAGAATTTCTTGAGCACAATATATCCTATATTGCACTTCGAATCATTGAATATTTGTGTAGTATTATCCTGAGATAAAGTCAAAACTGTTCGACTAGAAAATAAGCGTGAAATGGGATGATGATGAGAGTAGAAAAAATTGTAAAACTGCGAATTTTTTCAAAACTTAGTGTCAACTCATCATTGGCCCTTATACTCCCTTTAATGAGGTCCGTTGAATAGATTAATCAAAAACAGACGTATTTTTTTCAAGTGATGGCTATTGGGGAGTAGAAAAACATTTGTTGATATTGTGTTTATTTTGTTCATATACTAAAGCTATCCGGTGTAATGGAATGTTTTGCAGTTTGCACCCCCGAATAAGATATATCAGGCCATGGCTTTTTCACGCCAGTTCTCCCTTTGACTATTATGTAGAAGCTAGATTCTTGATATTTTATACAAATTATTGTGTAAACTATACGTCTTTTTATTTTATTCCTTAGTGGTTCCACTTTGCCACAATATTTTAACTCAATCAAGACCACCGTGGCAGATGCAAGTAAGTGAAATATATACTTTTCCTGGAGAATATTTGACGCTGGTCGTATTTTTAAAATGCAAAATTGAGCAAGAAAAAATGAAACTAGAAATAAAGTAAACAGGCATATAGTCAACGTATTAGATTGTGTAGAAATGTAAGAAAATCAGACAGTTTATTCAAATTTTAGAGAGAAATACAACGAAATATCCATGACTAGAAAGAAATCGTTTGCATGGGAAAAACCTGGGCCGATGCAATATATTACAGTGTGTTATATACACAAATAACATCACGTCTTATTTACTACACCGGCTGTTAATTTAAACAAAATAGAGCTTTTTAACATTGTTTTACACAAGAAATAAAAAAACACATATGAGGGTGTTACACCTCAAGGACTTCCCCATCAAGGTCCAGGCAATTGTATAAACAATTTCAAGGATTTAACGTCGAAATATGTGGATATATGTCAAGAAATTTTAAACATCGGAATTAAATTTATAATTAAGTAAGTGCCAGGATCCAGGTACAATTTGAACACACCTAAATATTTATGAGCCTTACACACTAGCCGATGATGCATTCTCATGGAAAATTCTAGATTACAAATACAAATTCCTTTTTTTAATTAGGTGTATTTTAGAATTAAAGACCGTAGGCACTTCCCACGTAAATGAAATTAGCACTACAGTCATACTGGTTTACACAGAGGTGTAACATTAAAACATTCAAGCAATCGTACGCATATATGAACAATACCAACAGGAGTAGTTTTGGGACTTATGATAGGAGCTTGACTGAATTTCGAAAGCTGATGGTTAATTTAATTAAAATTCATACAACAATTTAAAATTACAAGTTATTGAAATTGCAAACTTTAGAAATTACAACATATCGAAATGACAAAATGTAGAGATTA